TTCTCTATTTCCCCCACTTCTCTTCACCACTCACATCCTCCAGCTCGGATATCTTCTGCCTCATGTCCCGGATGATGCCCGCAGTCTCCGCCTCCCGGAGCCGCACGGCGATCAGCTCCTCCTGCAGATGTTTCACCATGTTCCTCTCCTCCGACTCGTCCAGGTGAACAGCGTCCTCGATGATACATGTCTGGGGGGAAGGAGGCAGACAACAACTTTTAGTTTTAGTAAGAGTTTTATGGCACTTGCAACACAGTAAGTTCATAAAAGTGCCGAAGATTAGAGGTGTTGCAAGAGAGTAACAACCACAAAAAAGAAGGAGGGGAGAAAAAGATGATAGAAATTTGATAGGAAAGAAGAAGCAAACTATACCAGAGCACCAGCCAACCACCCACGATAATAACTTTAAAAAACAAACAAATATACAAACAAACAAATGTAGGTGTCTTTACACCCCCAATAACACAATTTAAGAGGCGGGCTTTTGACCCTGCCTGTGTGGGCCAACCTAGACTGAGAAGGATACAACATCCCAACAGAAAGACCGAGATACTCATTAAAAATTTCTAAAGGCTAAACCGTAGATGCCAGAGGGAAGATGGGAGACATTATGTTAAAAAAAAGGATATGGGTTCAATTCCTTTATCAACATTACTAGAATATCTAAGAGGCTGGACCTCCAAATTTATCGTTCATCTCCTTTAGGACCCAGCCTAATGGGTAGAGAGCCTTGAAAACTCCACAAAACGATCAGAGTTAAAAAATATCCAGTCTGGGATTCAAACTACGGTCATCCACTCCTTAGTGCAACATATCAACTGAGTTACCGGAACACCCCGGGAGACAGATATTTTTGTAAGTTATAGTAAAAGTTTAAAGGCACTTGCAACACAATTAATAGGTCTTATAAATGTCGAAGACTAGAGGTGTTACTAGAGAATATAACATAAAAAGATATAAAGGAGGAGAGATAAGAACAATAGATGTTTGATATAAAAAAGGTGCTCACCATACTTAATGCACTTACTAAAACACCAATAGGAGAAGATAGATTAAGAGTTTGGCTGTAAGAAATTGTCCGTGTTTTACTCCTGCATCAATACAATTCATACCACTCACAGTTTGGGCTCGAGAGGGTTGGGGTAAAAAGAAGCACATCAACGTAATAAT